GCTTTATGGGCCACTGGCCTGACGCAGAGTGTTTTTTTTTTACTTCTAATTCGTGCATCTCCATGAGCAGCACCGGTAAATGTTTTATTTTTGGGACCCTGAGACAAAAATTTCGTATTAAATTATTTCAGTTGTGAATTTACTATCAATTTTTAATCATCAGTATTCTTATTTATTAATTTACTTTAATTTTTTTAAAATTTTATTATTTTTCGGTCATTCCGGGAATTTCGGGTATTCGGATTCGGGTTCGGGTTTCGAATTCCAGCATTATTTGTAGAATCTGGTAGAAATAAGTGATTAGATGTGTATTAAAGATGCAGCAAAACTAGAAATTAAATAGGGATAAACACGAGAACTGCTGAAATGTTTTTCATTTTATTTGATGCTCATTTACTAGTCGCTCACAGTTCCACAGGTGTAGGCAAACATTTCCATAACTATCCATAGAAATTCCCGCTTGCTTTGGGTAACAATTCGGTGTCCCTGTTAACTCTTCTCACCGTGGATAAAATGAATTATCTCGCAATAACAGAATTTAAATTGTGAAATCAGTCAATGTATAGTCGTTATACTCTTACATCTGTTTAAAACTGTTTCCGTTTCCGATTTCATGATATCTTTGATGATAAATGATACATTCTAGTGGAAAAATTAGTTAAACATGAATCGATTACAAAAGCGCTCTGCATCGATAATCAAATGTAAAAAAATTGTTAACAGAACTTTTAGACTAAGATTTTTTATTGTTACAGTATCAATATCTAAGGAAAGCTTTGGTTACATCAGAGAGAACGCTATATAATTTGTATCTCATTTAAAACAAGCTCGGTTTATTGGTACCAAAACTCATTAGATATAAATGAAATAAAAACTAATTGTTTCCTCCTACACAACGCTGTGTAACGAGTTATGTTTCCATTGCCTTTATGTTTGAAACATGGAAAGTTCCTCATGTGATCGATTGACGTTCCTAATTCCAACGTTGCTGTATGTTATAAAAAGCTTAGGGCTTCCTGTCAGAGATCGCTTGAACCAACGATAAAGACAAATTTCTCGAATTTTTGACAGTAGGGAATGTTTTCACTTCACTCGTTTTGCAAAAAAGCTGGCTAACAGTCTTCTTGAGAGAACCAAATTGCTAATTCACAAATTTATAGCCACGCTGCTTTAAAGTATGCCAATAAGAGATTAAAGCAAAATTAAAAAAAAAACGCAGTTTAAAAACTGTAAATCCCCGTGAACTATGAACCTTTTAACTCCCATTGGTGTCCAAGACAGCATTTCTCCTTACAATATCAATACAATATCAAGCAGACGAGTGATGAGGATACAAAAAAAGATCCATCAGGGGATTATCAGTTGATCAAACACCAAATTCTCCAAACTAACATCTTAAGAAATGTCTGGCAAACAGTAAGGAGAATTGGAAATGAGATCTTGGCGGTGAAAGGGTTAAAAACTCTAAAATTCTAGATGAAATACTATGAAGTACTATGATCATTTCTCAGGGTTAAGGTGCTTTGCTTTACTAAATATATTGGTTATAGTTGATAATTTAAGTCACTGCACCACTTCAAATATTGCCAATTGACAACAACTGTTATTGCTGTAATGTTTGAAGAATTGTATTGTACATGAATTTCAAAAATTGCTAACTATTAATCTTTGTTTTTGCTTTTCATCTCTCTTTTGAATATTCCCAGTCTTCAACTATCTGTGCTACATCCACTTTTCCAAAATCCTTGTGTTTCAAAGGTTCAATTCATTTTGCCACGGTTGCCTCTCGCGGCCTTGATGACCATGTTTTCAGAATTTCATCAGCAGGGTTTCCCTGCTGTCCTACAAATTCAATCTCATCTCTGGACAGTCCAACCTTGTCACCAGCATTCTGAAGTCGTCAGATCGCACATTTCTCAGGACATTGAGTGACACACAGACTCGTGAATATACAGGTAGAGGTAGATATTTTTTACACTCATTAAAAGCTGTTTATTCACCAGGCTTCTTCCTGCGTCTACCAAACCAGATTTTATCTCAGGGTTTTTTACCTTAGGGTCAACTACTTGTTCACTCTCCTCTCCGTGCCCCTCGCTTTTCCTGTGAAGAAATAACGAGAAAATTAATTGTTCATCAGTAGTTACTCTACAGAAACTTTAATAAGAAGGTGATAGGAAGTCTTGTAGTTTGGACGTATAGNCAAATATGCTAGTTTTAAGAACATCAAATTTCCAAGGGGCAACTATCAGACCGATAGTTCCGAGACATAAACACTCTATTGTTTTTATTGTTCACCACTAAATTTTCTTCCGCGCCTACAGCTTGTCACAAATGTCAATAATTCGCAACCGTACATTGGCTAAATAATACGTTATACCTGTCAGAATTGAAAAGTCACTGTTTTTCCGATCTGCCTAACTTCGCGGCCGTCAAACTATTCAAAACTTTTCACGGATGAGTACTATCAATCCAGGTATTTTCCGCGGACGGGCACTATCCATCCGGGTATTTTCCGCGGGCGGGCACTATGGGCTGATAGTTTCTCTCCACGGATGAACACTATCGCGTCACGTGATTGATTTAAACCAATAAGAACCGGAGAAAGTTTAGTGGTGAACTATAATGATATATATATATATCATTATTATATACATCTTATACGCAATGAAATTTAAGAAATAGCCGCATTATACTGATGAATTAAAGCCATTAGGAAATAGTCTCGTTGTACCCGATAAAAATATTCTTTAGTCTAGTAATTCTTCTGCAGAAAGGTACGTTAAAAGCGCGCTTTTTCCTCAAGGCTACGGTACTAAGATTACATGACGGCAAAAGGCCATGTAATTTTTGTCTTTGATCTCAATGAATAGGCGCTCCGTCAGCAATTGGCGCTGTTGGTAGAGAGTGGCAATATTGCACTCTTCTTGGTAGCCTAAATCTGGGAATATCATTCTAAGTGCACGGCGCTAAATTTCCTTAAGCTCTTCAGAGAGATACTTAAATAGACCATTGTGGAAAACTTGGCAAGCATATTCAGACACAGGTCGCATACACGTAGTATAGAAACAAACTAGCTGCGCAGGTTCTCCTTTTGCACGCTTAAGTTGCCTTAACTGATGAACTTTGTCCACTTTTTATTCCCCAAGATTAATACAGAGGCCAAATAAGAGAAAAAGAGATAACTATGGCCTTCCAGCTAAACTAAACTGAGTTTACTTAAAGGCTGATGGTAGCCGTTTTACGAGAAATGATCGATTTTGTTTAGTTTTTACTCGGGACAAATTCTGTTGACGGTGCATTTAAAAGATTTGTCCGTTCCGCCAAAAAATTGTCAAATGGGTTGTGACAAACCGTCCGCACTAGCCGAAAACAAATAAACATGAAACAAGTGTCCTTAATATATATATAAATTTGTTAAAAATCCAACCTGGCAGGAGGCAGGTCAAACAGTGCAGCTGAGAAATGAAGGCAGCCAACAAATCAGGTGAGTGGTAAGATGATGAACTTGAAAGCAGGACACTAGTTTTCAATTCCACCGTCCTTACCACTCGGCAGTGCTGCCATCCCCCTCAAAATTGGGACTCTAGTTGCAGTCCGCCTATTAGTAGGTTTCTGTTTAACATAAACCTTAGGCAGGTTTCACCCTGTTATGATCACTGAATGATCATCAGACGTTGCGGGATGACTTTGACTTTTGTAACATGTTGTTTAACTTGATAACAGTACCTAAACATTTTGACCACATCACACGGATAGTTTAAACTAACAGAGGATCGTAATAATCCGGGCTGGACTAGGTCCGATTTCATTTATGAGTTGGGGTGAATATTCATCATATGAATCCCACGAAAAGTGTTATAACATAACCAAAGTAAAGCACGCGCTCTGATTTGTCGATTTAGTGTCCCCCATTTGCCCATGGGTGTACGCTGCTGACGTGAACAAATGCAAAGACTATTTTTCCGCGCCCGCTTGTTTTTTCTGGTCGCGTAAGATTTGTTAAATNGAACAGGAAGACCCAGTCCCTAAATACTTATGTCCGAAGTAATAAACTTTAACGAGTTGCGTTTGGTTTGAGGGGAAGAAGGCTCTATAAATTGAGCTATAAAGGAAGATTCTGGCGAATGAATTGAAAAATAAATTTTCCTCTTTTTCTATGAGTTTTCCCATACTGCCTTATGTTGGTTTAATTAAAGATCACCTCCGTAACTAAAGCAATGAGATATTACTACTGTGAGTCACGAATATAACAGTGTTTTAGTCTCGGGGATATTACATACATACATAGGTTACTTAACCACTCCCCATAGGGGCTTTTCAGAGCCAACACCCACCCATCCCACCCAGGGGAGGACATCTACCACACAGTAATTTAGTGCGTGGGAAATTAACGTCTCCTACCCCTAACCTTGCCAGGAGACTGGGCCTACGGTTTATTCGTCCTCATCCGAGAAGACTAGAATATCTATCCATTTCTTGATTATAGAAAGGTAGCAGATTCTCCTCACTTATGCTAAGACCGTGAGTATTGGTCCGACCGTGGGCTCGAACCCTCAACCTCCCGCACAACACAATCCGGCGCCCTAACCAATTGACCTTCTGAGTGTCAGCTTTCGCGTGTCGTGTCACATGACTTATGGTGTAAACAAACCTCCAAGTTCGGACATTGGTTTCACACACGTGTACGAACTTGTAGTCGCTATTTCAAATTTCCGTTCCCATAGCCAGTTTTTTTCCGCGGCCTAGAGTCTTTAAAGTTCAAATATCGAATAGAACATCCGTTCTTACCCACGTACTGTACGTGGTCGGACCACGAGTCGCATGTTTTGGTGAAAAAACACCCGAAAGTTCGGACCCGAGGCAGTCACGTAACGTCACGTAACCTGTTTGTGTGACTTCCCGGATGGTGACCCCTCTCAGGACACACCTGAGAGGGAACGGTCGTATTTGAACCCTTTCGCCGAATTAACCGCCAGAAGCAAACAGAAAGCAAACTGCTTGGTAAGTCTGTGTTATCGTGTATGTATCTGAAGTCGACTGAGTGCCGGAAAAAGCGAAAGAAAGAGAAATTCCTTAAATTCAACTGCTTTAATTATCATATTTGGCCGACTACGTTGCAAGAGAGACTTCAAAGAATCCGCGTAAACAATCTCCAACTAATTGGGAATCCGTTGTCACAAGAAGAAGAATCTAAAGAATATGGGGTATTGAAAATCTCATCGGTTCTGAAAATGGTGACAATGAATTTATAACATAGATCTGCTCTTTTTTTCTCTCTTAAACACACTGTACAAGAAACGTTACTGCCAGACTTAATGGTTTGAAGCTTTCGCCTCGCAAACAGTGATATCAATGATTGTTTTCTTTCCTAAACATCACAATTCGCTCTGACGAGGGGCTAACGCTCGAAACTTCAGTTTCAAAACTCTTTACTGTGGCCAATTTACATTATCAACTCAGTCGATAAAACCAAAATTACCTTGTCACAAAATTACCTTGTATACTCCTCCACCGACGCAGCACCACAGTTTCTAGAGAAACTTACCCCCTTTTAATTAATCACCTAATCCAATGTCTTTAAGATGATTGAGACTCGTTGTCTAGTGGTCTGGTGTGTTTTAATTCAAAATCTCGTCAGTGAGACTGAGTGGAATATTCGTGAGAAACAGAGGAAGTATTTGTAGCTTGCATTACATTTAGCGTGACGGGCAGCCGCATTTCTGTTTTGCATGTACAGAATCCCTGAATTGATTATTTCAGTCTCGTGAAGACATTTGTTGGTCCTATTGCACAATATTTTAGTATCTTTTAATCAAAATGAAGCCAAAGTGGGCCTCGTACGAGCTCGAAAAGCTGGTGACCTACAGTGTGTGAGAAAAAACTAATTAATTTAAAATCCGGGGATATTGAATAACTCCTTGTCCCGGAGACATTATTCATCATTTCATGCTCCTAAACTTACTCATCATTATTCATCATTTATTCATGCCCATGAGATTAACTATCGTAAAGGGTGCTGATTTACGTCAGATTTGATCTTTTATGAGGCGACTTCAAGTAAATCACAGCTAAACTGACTGATTTAATCAAGTATCATTTGGTTAAATCAAACGAAGTTCGATGACTAAAACTTTTATGTTTGGTTAGCGGATGGAAGATTAAACATGGCCGCATATTGTTCGCAATGACCGTATCAATGAGTCTTATTTAGCGCCTGTTCAGTACAAACTTAACTCTTGGTGCTGAATACAAGTGCTCTTGCAATTAATATGATTTCATTCATTTCTTCTTTATTTTATGAGTTTCAATATTTATTCTATTTGATTGATTTTCATTTCATTTCATTGTGGCAGTTGACGTCATTTCATGTTATGATATCCGGGTTTCCCGTAGCTAATGAAAAAGTTTGTATCAATTGGAAGTTTAGTGCGCATCGAACTTTCATTCAATGTTATCTGATTTTTTTTCCTCTTAATTCCATTTTTTACGCCCGAACGCCAGAATAATGTTTGTTACACCGAAGATGTTATTCTCTCTACTTCTGAAACTCCAAATGATCATGGGCTTCCTTGGAGTTATCCAGGCCAACGTTATCACCGAATGCAGAAATCACAACAACTGTATTAAAAACTACAGCGATGTTTACAACTCCCTAGGGTCAGAGGGAAATTATTATAACATCGCACTTGCCCTCTACCCTTCAAGAGAGCCCTCATCTGTTGTTGTTCATGTCAACTTGTACTCAACGAACCAGTCTGACCACCAAACAGGAAGAGTTTCACCCGTGCACTATACATGGAGTATGTCATGTCTGTACGCTGCTATCCCTGCTCAGGTTCTCGAAATCCTATCACTTGGTGCCATTCTTATCACGCCGCGTACACAGGACCTGGACATCACAATTCCACCGTTCTGTTGTAATGTGTTGGAGGATGAGCGAATTGCGATTATCGACAGAGGTTTGTCTGAGGTACGCTACAGAAAGAAGTGCATTTAAAAATACCGAGTTAGTGGGAGGGAGGGGTGCCTATTTCCATCAAGGACTATATGAGTAGCATTGGTTAGCCCAATGGATAGAGCGCTGGACCGTTGCGGGAGGTCGAGGGCTCGAGGCCCGGCCGGACCAACACTCAGGGTCTTAAAATAAATGAGAAGAATTTGCTACCTTTCTATAACATCAAGAAAGTGTTAGATATTCTAGTCTTCTCGGATAGGGACGGATAAATGGAGGTCCGATCTCCTGCAGGGTCGGGGGTAGGAGACGTTAGTTTCCCACACACGAGATTAGTGTGTGCTGGATGTCCTCCCCTGTGTGGGATGGGTGGGTTTACTGGGCCTACAGTGATTGGTGCAAGCTGTTGCGGTGTCCCTGCCTGTCGGCGAATCTTATAATTCATAAATCATAAATCATTTATAAGACATCGCAGATCTCGCGATTCGAGGCACTGGAATTTCCTTTATACGGTACAAACAAAGCGTAAGCGTGTGAATATCCGGCTTTGACTATACTGCTGAGATGTTTTCTGTTCTTATCGACCAATGTGATATCATTGGTTTTGGTTTTGTGACATTCAATCGAAATGTACTGTGTGCAGGCAACAGACGCTGGTACACGTGAGTTTAATAACACATGCACATAGCATTTGTCGGTGGAAAAATTGGTCACTGGTTTTACTGCTAATACCTTCTTTTAACAGCTTCAAGACCTGGCTGAAAGTCCAAAAAGCCAAAATCCGAAACTAAACACAGCTGAGTGTATTACTAGAGGACATACTCCAGATATATCTAGCGTCACGGCAAAACGTAAAACGTACATCAGAGCGATGCTGTGGAGCTCCTTTAGTTTTGCCTTTTTCTTTGGGCCATTATTAGCTCTCAGTAGTTATATATTTAGTTTCATGGCAGAAAACGATAAAACACCGGGTAAGGGGAATAGAGTAGAGCTAGCACAGGCCGTTAGAATTATAATCGTTTTACTAGCACTCGTAGAGTTGGTACTTTTCGTAGCGGTCGGGGTGATTGCGGTACGTTCAGCAACTCCTTGGGAGATATACTTCATCCTTGTGGTGATTTTAGCTGAAGCATTCATAGTGCCTTGCGTAGCGATAGAAAAGTGGTTTACATTCTTAAGTGAAAAAAAGAAATGTAAAAAATTTTTTGTCTTTATGTGGGGAAATCTCACGGCGATTCATATTTGCTGGCTGGTTGTTGGAATAATGATCAACACATTATGGGGTTTTACAGTCCTGCTTGTTATTTCCGTAGTTATTTCTTCCTTTGTGTTTGCAATTTATATCTTTCTTTGTTCCACCAAAGCAGCTAGTGAGCGAACTTCCAAGGCACCTACCAGGGCTGACAAGATTAGATTTGGGATCATTTGTTTTATTTCCTTACTTTCCCTCATGTCGCTTGTAGTTGTCGTAGTTTTATCAGGGCAGGCGTTTTTTGGGAGGGATTCTGCAAATGAGTTAATGAAAACGGCTCTCCTGTACGTTACCACCGCCTTTCTTTCCTGGATTGCGCGTAAGGTTAAAGAAGAAGGAGACAAGACTACGAAAAGTGGGAGCACGACTGAGCTAACTGGGATCAACCAAGGCGGAGACTAAGCGTTGTCAATATGAATTTTTTATTAAATTGTGTAGCTTTGCTAACAGTTTCACTGTACAACAGTTAGTTTCTTTCGGTTTTGCCTCGTGTTAAGGAAAAACGTCACAAAAAGGTCAAGCCCTAGCTGCCTTGAAAAGAAATGAAAAATAAATTATGATTTTTATTTTGGACCATTAAAGTTGCACGTTTTTCGAACAATCAGTCTAATATACGACTGCATAATCATACTTCATGACAAACAGAGAAGAATACGTTGTATAGTCGAAGCTCTTATGTTTGTTTCGGAGCAATAGAAAAATTTTAAGTCATTTTAAGTTGTTTGAGAGTTTTGTATACCTAGTAGTTATTGAAAAGCCTTCCTCTAGCCAACCTTACTAATGAATATTTATATATGGCCCAGGTGAGGAAACTGGTGACATTAACCCCAACGTCTTTCATATTTGAAGCTTATAATTGAAGATCAGCGGGCTCTTTTTGCTGGTAATGCTTAGCATTTTGTATTTGGAGGTATTGGAGCAGATGTTGTCTTACCGAGTCCACTCATCCATGTTGGTTAGGGTATTCTGCAAAGACAAGCAGTCTACATGAGTTTTGATTTTGTGATGTAGCTTAGTGTCGTCAGCAAATAGGAAAGTCAAAAGATCGACCTATAGCAACATCCGAGAGGCCGTTGATGAATAATGTAAATAGCAGTGTCCCCAAGTGGCTGCCTTGAGGGACCTCAGAAGTCTCAGGGGCTCTTTGCGAAGTTGGGCTATTAATAACAACCCGTTGGACTAGCTTATTTGAGTAGCCGCTGTCTTGGCACCATATATGCCTTTAACAACTTAGTAATGGAGAACTCGGTAGTCGACGGTGTCAAATGCCTTGGCAAAATCCTAATAAATCACGTCCATATGGATGTTTTTATCATGGTTTTGTCCAATAATATAGTTCTGTAAGCCTATTATAATGTTTTAATTTGGATATATCAACAAAGTTGAAGTGTTAAAGTGGCCACCGTAACGATTCCAAAAGCTGACGTTTCGAGCGTCAGCCCTTCGTCGGAGCGAATAGAGGAATTGTGGGCTGTGTGTGCCTTCAAAGGCAGAGAATGGAGCCACGTTATTGGTGGGAATGTCTTGTATGATAATAATTAATTCTACTTAGTATTGTAATTGTGATTCCACTTAGTACAATTTGTTGTTAATACTTAATTTAATCAGTACGTCAAGCCACTGCTCGCCTCGAATGGCTGTAGCAAACTGCGAGCAGTGGTACATCATATTTTCTATTTTGTCAATTTTTCTTAATAAACTGAGACAGAAACCGAAGACAATAATTCAGAGACACATGAGCGATTTCTTAGGAACCCTTGTTGTAAATGGGGGTAATTAAGTCATTAATGTGGTCATACAAACGATTAAACATGCAGCAGTGTTCCAAGACTTTGTTAACAATCGGGAGAAGCGATATGGGTCGGAAGTTTTTAGCAGGCTCATTTCAGTCTATCTTGTGAATAGATGCTACGTCTGTGGATTTCCACTCGAAAGGAATTTGATCACCAGAGCATGATCTGTGGAACTCTGGGGCGCATAAGATGTCCAGCAGAGCAGAAAAACCGTCTATGAGAACAGAGACCACGGCCATCTCAACCGATTCAGAAAGTCCCATCATAGCTATAACATTTTATGAAAAGAATATTTAGGGTTGGAAACCGAAAGGTCTTCTAAAAGAAAAGAAAGAAAAAAACCAAGGAAGCCTTTTGACTCCAACCAATTATCTGTAGGTGAATGATGTCATCCTTAAATTGAAACCGTCACTTCTATGTAAACAGTCCCGAAGTGTTACCTTTCAAACTTCCTCGATACTTTCGAGTTAGCGACAACTGATTGAAGTCACCATAAGAAGACAGTAACCACGACCCTGCTACTTGGTAAGTGATAATTTTTAATCCATTTGACTGTCAAAAGTGTCTCTAGCGTCAATGACAAACATTCTGGTGCTGCGCTGACTAGACTGTAGGGAATCGTTGTTTGCTTGGAAGTTTTCAATCGACATCCCAATCGACAGATGAAGGGAGATCGTAATTATTCATAACAGTGTGTGTTTACAGTCCGCTTTTTTTTAATCGCAAAGAAACAAAGAACAGTTGATTCCTCATTCAAGTGAGTACACTCAAATGTTCTAACTCTCATCGCCCTGTATTACCCTCGTCTGATTTCCGCAACGTGCGTTGTACCTACGAGGAGTAAGGTCGACTCTTTACCAACTATGATAATTCTTTCTAAAGCAAATTGATTGTTTGAAAAGACAAGATTAGCAGTGCGTTTATAAGTCTA